TTTTTCCAGATTTTATCCAAGATTTTCTACGCTACGGTCTATACAGGATACTTACTGGCGTACGTGACCTGCATAGACTATAGCGGATAAAAATTATTTATAAATAATTAAATTTTTTAATAATTTTTTACATTATTTCCCATACTTGTATTGTCCCCACTATTCGAGGATCTCCGCCTTACCCCCATCGAGCGATACCCCCTCCACTCGTGGACGATATGGCGCGATGATATGAACAAAAAAAGTTTGATGACTAAACTATCGTTTTCCGACACCGTGTACATTTTGTGTGTGTTGTAAACATGTAGGCAGGGAGGAGGGCTGCGCCCCCCTGCAGGTGGAGGGTTTCGCCCCTCCCCCCTGCTCTCCCCTCGGGAAAAAATAGGGTAAATGTTTACAATAGTAGAAACCCCTCCGATCGGCTTCTCGTTTTGATACATTGTAAATATGACCTTCCTGAGTACTTTTTTAAAAGTTTTATCTGTCGCTCATTGTTTATAAAAAAGTTATGACCAAAAAAAGTTTCATCAATAAACTATCGTTTTTCGACACCGTGTACATTTCAGAAGAAAACGAGTAATGTTCATGTTGCCAACAAAGTGTGTATATGTAGCATATCCCAAAACTTTCTGTTTTGTTTTCATTTCTTCGTTTGTATTCGTCCCGAATGTATAATTTTGATACTAGAATTGATTTTTACTAGATTGATTGACGATTTGTTTTCATTTCTTCGGTGTAAGCGTGTAGGCAGGGGGGGCTGCGCCTCTCCTGCACCCCCTCTTACAAACCCTAACCTAACTTTAACCTAAATTTATCTTTCTGCATTCCCCCTCGCAAAATTTCCACACTGGTTAACCTATGTTACTACAATATCAATAGAATTGAGTAAAACTTGCGAGGGAAAATGCAGGAAGAAAAGTTTAGGTTAGGGTTAGATTAGGATTTTTAGGGGGGTGCAGGTGGGGCGCAGCTTCCTCCTGCCTACATGTTTACAACACACAAAAAATGTACACGGTGGCGAAAAACGATAGTTTATTGATGAAACTTTTTTTGTTCGTAACTTTTTTATAAACAATGAGCGACGGATAAAACTTTTAGAAACGTACTCAGGAAGATCATATTAACAATGTATCAAAACGAGAAGCCGATCGGAGGGGTCTCCCCTATTGTAAACATTTACCAAATGTATAAATACCAAAATGTATACCAAAAAAAAAAAAAAAAAAAAAATACGCGAGGCGATAGTGACATTGTTATCAAGTTCGACGTGTTTTTGTATCTCGTTTGAAATCCATACTTGTCGTCTTCTCTTTATCTATACATCTTTAAGAGCATAAGACAAACATAAAAATAAATTAAAAGTTGAAGAAAGAAAGCTGTTGTTATTATATAAAAGCAAATTGCAATATATGTAATAAAATAAAATAGCAATATTAACTGGACAAAAAAAAATGTTTACTAATTTCTATATAAAACCAACAATTTGTTNATATTTTTTTAATATGCAAGATACTACAAATTTTAATAAATAGACTTTGAAAAAATATATAAAGATATCCATCCAAGACATGAAAACAAACTTATGCACTTGCGTCAATAATCTTTTTACATTCAATCGGATATCTGATTGAGTTTCGAGTGCAAGAAGATTATGAACTTTAGCAACACAATTTAGCAACGAGTTTGTTCTTATCTCTCTCCGATGTCGTTATATATTGTTAAAGTTTATCTATTAAATTTCAAACATTTTGCATATTTGTGCGTTTCAATATTACAAATACATTGCACTGTAACCTTACTGTAGTCTTACATTGTAATATTTTTGAAGGCGGACATTTTAACGTTGCCGTAAGCTTGCAGTAACATTGCAGAAATATTTTGCAACTATCACGTAATATTACAATGTTTCATTGTAAGATTTATGCAATGTTACTGCAATCTTTCGGTGCTGTATGGGATCCTCGTCGTGCATTCTTTTTGTTGCCCATTTTAGAGGGGATCTTACGCAGAGAGACGAACTATCCGACAAACCTTCCTCGTACGTAGTAGAGTGGGATCGTTTAGCAGCTTTTACCGAGGATTCCACTTCTATCGCCGGTTTGGGGGAAAAATCCCCAGGTCCGGGACAGACGGGCTCACCAGAAATTGTTGTAAATCATTGCTTATGTCCTCAAAAGCCGGGGAGGGCGAAAGCCCGCTATTCGGCACCGAGTCCTGCGAGAGGTTATTCGCGGACACTTTTTTTGCCTCACACACAGAAACAGCGGAAAAAGCTCCAAAAACACTTCCGGAAGCACAGAGAGCTGGAAAAAATGAAACAGCACCCAAGTTTTACAGCCAAAATTCAAAAATATCGGTAGAACGCAGGAAAGCACGCAAGAACACGTCTTCCCGCCAAGAACGCGCCACCGGAAGTCTGCATAGACATAGTCTATGCTTAAGCGTCAAAAAGGCCATTTTTGACTTGTGTGCTCAAGAGGTTATAAAGGTTCGAGTCTTGTATGGATATAATTTTTTTATTATTTAATTTATGTTTTTAAAGAGAAACAACAACAGTTATTTACACTAAAGCATAAACAACTGTTGTTAATTAAAGATAGCTTAATTTATTTAGAAAAAATTTAAGTAAAAAAATATGTTAAATTAAGTTCTATAGAAGTATGAAGTAAATTAAATTATAAAAAGGTTTACGAATTGTTAGTGTTAATTGTTAGCGTCTGCCAAGTCTCTCAACAAGTCTATACATGCTACATGCATGCTATTATCTCTCACTATCACTCTCTCTCAACTGATTCTCGGACGTCTATCTTTGTTGCTCTCGGCCACTCCCTCGGCCTGCCGCGGCCACCAATCAACTTATTGCTAGAAAAGAAGAGAACTACTCTACGACTATTTCTGTCTCTTTTAACAAAGCTTCTGCTCCTCTTACACGAATGTTTCGTCTATTATATAAGTCTATAGGTTTGTTCGCGTTGCATGCCCCAAAATACTCCTACTTGCTTTAACACGCTCTAATACGTTCGCGTCACCGGAAACAATATGGCGACTAGGTGTTTGCGTTGCGATAGAGCATACTCTAAAGGGCAATTAGGAGCATGCTCTATGTGCCTCAGCTTTAAAGGTGGTGCAGTTGGAGCATTTTGTTATACACATGCGCAATGAGGACGAGTATAGTAATTTTTTACGTTTTCTTTCGAATTTTCGAATCAATATTTGAAAGCTCATTAAAAAGTATGTGGCTGAAAAGAAAATATGTGAATACTATCAGTAGCTAAATTTTTCTACTAGATTCATGACAAGTGTTCTATTTAAACGATAATGCATAACAAACTTTTTATTTGTATACGTTGGTACTATATTTTTAATGTAGGTAGTGATGCATGTTCTGTGTCCTCTTCAAACAAAACTTTCTACCATTTCAACAATTGCATTAACAGCAATATCTGTAGATATATAAATTACAATTAAAATTCAATAAAAATACTAAAAAAAGTATAAAGTATCAAACAAAACAAATCTTTATAGATTACAAAAATTTTTAGAAAAATAAACAACCATATTTTCATCAATATTTACTCTCTATTTTGTCATTGTCTTCTATTCTAAATAAATCATTTGCGAAAGGTACAAGATTTTGTGTAAAAACGTCAAGTTCATTATTAATAACAATACGAAAACCGAACAACAAATTTTCGAGCGGATCCATATTGTTAGAATTGATTTATAATAGCCGTAACAGTTAATTTAACTTTTACTGTCGTAAAAGTTGGAAAATAGGAAACTCGTACCACCGTTTATAATTAAATTAGGTAATTATGTAGAATAGGAGAGCCACCTCCGATTTCAATAATTTTTATATATGTTGTCAAGGTCATTGTCCCGAGTAATAATATGAAGGTTTTAGGCCGCGGTCGTTGTTTGTTTAGAAGTTACAGCGGAAAGAAGTCTACTGAACAATATGTAATTTTTGGACATCCTATATATGAATATGTGTTCTGCGTGTGTTTGGGCACATGTTTGTTTATACGCTTTTGTAGTTGTATCTTGAAAGGTCGTTTCATGGAAAATGCCTCTATGTTCGTGAAGACTATCTTTTTGATCATTATTTGGCCGAATTTGCATTTAAGAAAACGTTCGATTTTGATGAACAATTGGACGCTTTTTTTGAAATAATGTCTGTAACAGACATTATTTTTGATCTCACGTACATTTCGTTCGTGTTTCAAGCGTGTAGGCAGGGGGGGGGCTGCGCCCCCCACAGGGGAAGTGGCTTCGCCCCTCCTCCTGCTCCCCCTCGAAAATCAAGTCGTTATTTTGTGGAAAATAACGACTTGATTGGATGAAAAAGGATGTCCTAACCATTGTAGAAATTTTGCGAGAGGGAATGCAGAAAGAAGAGTTTAGGTTAGGGTTAGGTTAGGTTTTTAGAGGGGGGTGCAGAGGGGGCGCAGCCCCCCTGCCTACACGCTTGAAATACGAACGAAATGTACGTGGAACCGAAAAATAAGAATTTATTTATGAAACTTCTTCTTCTCATAACTTCTAAACAAACGACGACCGCGGCCTAAAACCTTCATATTATTACTCGGGACAATGACCTTGACAACATATGTAAAAATTATTGAAATCGGAGGTGGCTCCCCTATTCTACATAATTACCTTAAATTATGAACGGGAATACGAGTTTCATATTTTCCAACTTTTACGGCAGTGGCCTAAGGTAGTAGTTAAGGCAATTATAAACCAACCCTTAGAAGAAGTGCTTCAGATCGTTCGTGTCACTAGACGTTAGAGCACATGAACTTATCTGTCTCAGCCGCCATCTTATTTGTGATCTAAGTGCTCTGGGTGCGTTCGCTTTGGACGCTCACACGCTTTAAGCGCTCACGCTTATAAGCGCTTTGTGCACTCGTTCTCTTTGGTGTTAAACGCTTACTAGCGCTTACATAAATCCGTTCGGTTTGGCGATGTGAAAATTGTGAGCGATTATGATGTGAGGTGAGAACTACAATGAAATGGCCGATTCTCTGATTTTTCGTCAAAAAGTCGCTTCAAAAAAACGTGTTCTGTGAGTAACCTTTGGATATTTTTAATAGGTTGAAATTTCTATCTAAAGTTTTAACTTCCTAATAATTGTAAATTATATTGTGTGTTCGTTTTTTACAGTATACAAATAAATCTCAAGAAAATTAATTAAAATATGAATGTTAACCGCAATGTGACTATAAATCATAATAAAAAAGAATTAATTCCTGTGTTTTCGAAATTACTACTAATACTATTTGAATTATTATATTTCGATAATGAAGAATATAACTCGACTATTAGAGATATAGAGAATTACATAAGAATTTTTCTAAGTAAACAATCTCTTAAAAAATACCGTATACAACGACTAGAAAACTATGTAGAAGAAATTTTACCATCTTATACTAACGACGAATTTAAATCACATTTTAGGTTAGTAACGTTTCTTGTATAAATACTTTTAAATGTTAAAATTATTTTCAGTAATGGAAAATTTTGCACATTTATAATATACCTAAAAGAGATAAATTTTGTTGAATTATTTTTTTCAGAATGAAACGGTCAACATATAATTATATTCTAAATCTTATAAAATCTTCATTAGTAAGAAGTAAATCTGGACGTAAAACTATATCAGTAGAAAGACAATTCTTAATTGCTATTTGGAAAATGGCTACTCCAGACTCATATCGGTATGTCATCAATATATTTATATTATATTTTCTTTTTACTGTTTTAGTAATTTTGTTATATATTAAAGTGTGAAAGTTATAATATATACAGTATGTATAATATATAAATAGTATGTATAAAATTCAATATATTTGCATATATAGTATTTTATGTTTTACTAATATTTAATTTGTTTACAGATCAATTTGTGAAAAATTTAATGTAGGAAGAGCTACCGCATTAAAAGCTGTACGAAGAGTAACTAAGGCAATTGTGAAATTAGCTCCCATTTTTATTACGTGGCCAGACAATAATAGAGTAGAAGAAATTATAACAGGATTTGCTGCAAACAATGGTTTTCCGAAGGTAATAGGAGCAATTGATGGTACCCACATAAATATTAAAGCACCTCATATTAGTCCAGAATCTTATGTAAACAGAAAAGGACATTATTCTATACAGTTGCAGGTAATTTATTATATTTGTGGTGCGCATCACACCACGAACGGGCTGCGCGGCAGTGAGGCAGCCTTAAACTCGGCGCCGGCAGCCGCCGCAGAGCGCCTAGTTCGGCGCGCCGCCGCGGCGTG